TGTGGTGATTCTCCAACAAATTGACTGTCCATTCGAAATTTTTTTTTCATGGAATTCTCAAAAATCACACTATTTTTATCAATCTTCCGAAAATTTTCAGCATGTCACCGCAACGAATCACAGCACTAGTGTTGCACGTCCGGTACTTTCAGTAGCTCTGTTTGATTCTCATGTGATATCTTACCTGAAACGCTAATTGTAAGCATTCGTCATGGTCTGCTTTTTACTCCCTTCTAACGCGTTATCGGAATAGTGAAATTTTTGTTAACTCACGCCGTGTTAGCACATTATGGCATCATCGAATACAATTCGAAACTCTGATATATACGCGAATTGAACTCTGTCTGCACTGACAATGAAGTTTTCCGCATTGAACAGTGATCGTGAAACTAGGAGAAAATGGCCACAGAGATAACGCTAAACGATCGTACACCAGCGATACATCGATCGTTCTCGCTGCGACGAAAGAAGTCGATTGGTTCATGTGATTCCAGTGCTTCAACTTCAACCAATAACAATGGTCGAATCCCTTTACCGGGTTTCGTCATTCTGCTTGCGTCTGATTCTCAACGAAGAATCACCCTTTATGGTGTGTTAATATTATGGCCTGTCACAAGACACACAACCAACTATGCACCACCCGTTCCGTGCATGTCAAAACATGTTCCGTGCCTCACAAATAGCTCACTCAAAAAATGTCTGTCAATGAAACTAGTTCACTGATAAACTCATCAAGTTACGAAATAATCTCACAATCAGCTAAAAAAATAATTTTTTGCAGGAACAGCAGCTGATCGTGCAGGATTGTGTATCGGTGACGAGATTATTGAGGTGAATGGAACACCTGTCGAAGGCAAAGAACATGCCGAAATTGTACGACTCATTCATAAAGTAAGTGCATGAAGCAATAAAAGCCAAACTTTGTTAGTTCAGAGACTTTCATTGAAAAGTTCCAATTTATTCTGCTGATTTCATTTTCTCATATATTGCCTCTTCAACTCTAGTGCTTCAGTTACAATTCATTAGATTTATTATTCATCAATAGGAAAGAAATCATCAGTCTTTCATCGTCTTGTTCATTCTTATCGTAAGGACTGATAACATCGTCGACCAAATCTCTTATCAGCATCCACTGCATGAGTGATGAACAAGGTATTTGTGTGGGAAGGATTAACCTGCCTTGCACTTTCTCGTCTTTGCTTACAATCATAGTGTGGTGATGTATGGAACTGAATTGAATCATTCAGCATGATTGAATTTATTCACGATGTTGAAACAAATAATCAAGTCGAATCAGTACGTGTAACCTTGAACAAGTTGCGAATTTCCAACCTGATTGATGCTTTCTTTCATATGAATAATCTCTAATTACAATCCGTTGATGTAGTTGTCAATTCCGTCGTAACATTAGTTAGTTATTTCTGACTGCACTGACTTGTTTGTGCAGTGAATTCGTATTGAATTAATCCTTTTGATTCTTTTTTTCTTCAAATGTTCACATCTCAAAAGGCTATTGGGACATTTATTCTGAGCTTCTGACGGTATTGGCTAACATTCACTTATGGCTTCACGTGAGTGATTGATCAGTGAATTGGTCAATTGGTCACTGTTCGTGTCACCTGCCAGTTTCCAGCAGCAGCACTATGGAGTCTACCTATAGCTTCCAATGCAAAATCCCTCAGAACACATTCCTCGCATCCATATGAATAACATGCTGATCGCTTGAGTAATATGCTGCGTTCATCCTACTAAATTCTGACACAATGAAGAGATGGAATCGCAATTTTGTTGTCGTCAAATCAGATTCAGTGTGTAATGCGACATCTATCACGATCGCCGACTACCCCAGATTTGCATCGCCGGCTATTCCTGCCGCAAGTGATGCGCATTTTGAGGTGAACGTTTGCTTATGTCATTCCAAGTTTCTGAATGCCTGTTGGGAATTAATAATAGCCTCCAGAATCCGCAAATTGCGATGCTTTTGTACCGTTTCGTAGTTCGATTTTGTCTGATTGTGAACGTTTCCGCTCCGCTACATCTTGTAAGCAGCATGGTATTACTTTTAATGTGACAGTAGCAGTAGATCGAAAGGAAATTAGTCACGAGCGACAAAATGTTTGGAATTCTTCTTGTCGAGGGTCATTTCCTATCTATCACTGATTAAGATTCTTCAGTAGTTTGTAATTGTTAAGTGTGCTTCCGTCGAACACATAGCATGCATCTACAATTACTTCCATAATATCAGCCAGCCTCTGTGTGCATTCCTAATCACCTATTAACGAAGCAACTCTAGTACAAGCGGCGATCCTTACTGTATGTCCGATTCTTTGTGAGATATGAAATTCATTCTATCGCTGGCTGCTTACGAACGATTCCACACGTCCTCGTATTGTAAGTCGTCAAATTTTTTTGTGAAAATTATGTCAAATCAAGTTACATCAATCACTATTGGACAGCGATCGGTTTGTAATTATAACAACACTGCAAGAAAAACATGAAAACATGTTGTATAATAATCTTATTAAAACGATGAAGAACTATCATTATTACGTTAGTAATGTTTTTTGATGCTGTATTCCATTGGAGCTGTTTGTCGTGAGTGCCTTAACGTACTGAATATAATCACATTCCTCTTTAAAAGCATTCCTGACAACATGCTATTGCATATTGTTAGTGGAATAATGATTTGCTTTTGCAAAAAAAAAATGAATCGCAAATTTTGAGAAAAATGATACATTTTGAAAAACTAGTCATAATGAATTAATTTCTCTCATTTATTCCATTATTTTGGTTATTTTTGACGCTAACGATGGCAAAAATTGATGGTATATTTGTCTGATAATTTTACGAGCACCAGCAAAATGAGATTCATCATGATGCTTCGAGGTGTTCATTTGGGAGTGGAATGATGATCTTTAATGAACACTGATAATGGTNATATTTGCCTATAAATTGAATTATTTCTGCTTTTTTCGCATTCATTTTCAACGATCTGATATCAATTTACACATCGCATTGATATTATACGATGATTTTTATTGTTGTGGTGTTTTTTTGGAGGTTACAATTTTTGCTTTCTGCGACAGTGCTTTATTGCGACAATCAGTTGAAAGCGTTTGCGCTTAATTGTTAGTTTGAAACCCGTTTTCGAATTGAACAGGGTTGTTATCGTCACAGAACTTTTCCTTCCTTCCGAAAAAGCATCCAATCCAACCCGACACTCATTTTCTGCATGAACGATGATAAATTTTTTCATTCTTTGACGATGGAATGAAGCTGAGGTGATTGTAATCAGGTGGAATCGCGAATTCCAAGCCACTCGGACTGACTGGAACCATTTGAAAAATGTTTTTAGATCTAGAAAAGCTATCGGATTGAGTGAAACCAACCCTCCAGTCGTATCAACCGTGCAATTTTTCCATTGTATTCAGCAGATTTCACATGCGATTGTCTTCTTAATCGGCCAACAGTGCAGTATCATT